CTCTACCGCTGGCATGCATGGGCTGGGCTGACATAAAAAAAGCAAATGGGCCATTCGCACCGAAAAATATGGTGACTTCTTTGACACAGTGAAACAGCAGTTGCATTTATTCCGTCCCAGCATCAGTTGGAAAAACCGGGATGATATAATGTATATCTACAAAGACATGTATTTACACGAAAGTCGATGGAGGAACACAGTTTTCATCGACTTGGGCCACGCGGAACAAATAAACTGCAGCGCGTAAAACACGTCACGCATTCGCGCTCCCGCGAAAAACCGCGAATTTCGTGCCAAACAGACAGGTAACTCTCTCCCACCGCCGATGCCGAATAACCGTCTCATTCGTTATCATGTATTCGTCTCTTCATTATCGTGACCAACGCACTTTCCTCATGCACGCTTTCTTCGTTCATCAACTACGAACACATTTCATTCGCAAGCCATCATACTGCTGATTAAAACAGTCCTTTTCACCACGGAGATAGCGACGACGAGCTTCAAAAAGTCGACGCGGCATACTCGGGCTCTCAGTATGCCACGCGCCACCTTTATCAGCGTTGATCAAAGAAACGAAACAACCGCAAGTTTCTCAAGCCTCAGTACCACACATTGCTGAGCAAACGTTCCATCATCCTTTGTAGAAAAAAAAACGAAAAAGGACTTTTAACACCCATCCGAGGTTCCTTTCGATGACACGCACACATAAATACATGCGCAATGGTGCTGCACGCGAAATAAAACCGATCTCTCGAACCGCGAATGCCCACAGCTATAAATAAATTCTTTCTGAGCTTCACACATTTCCTCGTGATCATTTAGCACTTGAAGTGAAAAGATCGATTAAAGCTTCTGCCAAGAACAAAATTTAAATTCGCCGAAATCATGACAAGAGGTACAGCTAGTGAACTAATTTTTTCAAGTTACAAAACGTGTCAATTTCTGCTGAGCCATCACGCATCTATAGCTCTTACACTGATGTTGGATATTTCGCTCTATGCTGAAATACAGTATGTCTCCCTTTGCTCTCTTCTTCGAGGGATGAATCTTCAACAGTATTCAATCCTGACCTATTCATCCCTCAAGGAATAGAATTGGGGAATAAAAGTGGATTACCTACATGAATGTAACTTAAATATTCATTGTGGTAACGCCGATAAACTGCGGACTAGAGTTTCTGCTTGTGATCGACATGTGCTTAACATTTGAACGCAATTTTCCGTTTTTTTTTATTCACGTGCAACATTCAGTGACAAAACGGAGGAGGAAGCTTTCAGTTTAACGGCGATAAAAGGCGACAAAAATAGAATCCGCTCCTTCTGTTTCTATGTACGCACCAAAAACAAAGCTCGGTCGTTACCTTCATTTTCGAGAACATTTTCAGTTTGGGATATGCTTGGATTTTTTTTTCAGAATTCCTCTGTTCTTCATTTTAAGCTATTTATTTTATAAATCACTAGTTAGAAGCCTTCGTGGAGCTCGCTTGTTTGGCTCCTGAGCAGTATTCAGTTCCAGGGTCAAACCCCTGCAATTACTCTCGGTTCTTTCCCTGGTCGCCAATGGGACCAATTCTGTGTCACCCGGAGTGTTGTCTTCGTCATCGTCGTCCACTCCAGTGCCACCGTTCTTGAACGTGACCACCATGGCCTTGCAATTCAGAGCCCCTTCTTGGTGGTTCTCGTTTTGCAAAGGAACCGGTGTCAACGACGGGGTTGCCAATGATACCGTCGTAGTCGTCGTGCCAAATTTGGGGTTCATTACGCTGATCATCTCGGTGTTCTTGCGACGAGGTTGCGGGTGACCTGAGCCGGTCTCTACGTCGGCATCCCCTTCGTCGAGTCCCTTGCCGTGATTGTCGTAGTCGTCGTGCCAAATTTGGGGTTCATTACGCTGATCATCTCGGTGTTCTTGCGACGAGGTTGCGGGTGACCTGAGCCGGTCTCTACGTCGGCATCCCCTTCGTCGAGTCCCTTGCCGTGATTGTGATGGCGATGGTTGTTGTGATTGTGGTGGTGGCGATGGTGGGACGGGGTGGCGTTGTTGCCGGCGTCTTCATCCTCATCTTCGACGTGATGGGGCTTGGAGTAGAGAGACTGGCGGCCAACGAGACGGTTCGACACTCGTCCGTTGTCGTCTTCATAGCTGCGCCAGCACGGCAGAACTTCTTTGAACTCTTTGCGGAAGGTCTCGTTGAGCCAGGCGTAAAGAATCGGGTTGTAACACGTCGAGCTCATGGCCAGCATATGTGACAGCGAAAATGTCATCTGAAAGAATGCGTGAGCTGAATTTGAAGAACAAGCATGCGTAGAAAAAAATGAGCACGTATCACTTAATCGAAGGACGAAATCAGCGCATAGCACGTATAGAGATACACAACATTATGTATCCGCATTGGGGCACAGTTCCATGCAGACGTACCTGTACGAAAAAGCAGGAAATGCTCTGCTTCGATTATTTCACCGCACATTCTATATATCAGAATATTCAATCGAGGAAATGTGAACTATTTGAAGATTTCCGTTCCACACTTATATAGCTCAAGAAAATCTGCGTTCTGTCCCGGCAACCGAATCATTTTACGTTTTTTTTTCATCGTAGGTAAGAATTAGGGTACAGCTGTGCAATAATATTCAGATAAAAATTGTGGAATGACAACTTCTTATACCCCCTCAGCTTATCTAATGGAAATTGTTCTGTGCACAATTTGGACGTCAGATGCGGATGATGTAATTGGTGCTTGGACCCTTTCCTCTATGTACGTTGGATGTCTGAATGTTGGATAACGTTTTTTTTAGACTTCACTGAGAATATATTTAGTTAGTTATCCTGTTCGTGAAAAATTAGGAGAAAGTCCCATGACAATTTTAAACTTTTTTCAACTTTGAAATACAGTATAGTCAACCCTATTTATAAGTCAAACTTCAAGAGATGAGAAAACATTAAGTTAGTTTTCAACAGAGGAAATAAGTACAGTATTTTTGGGGGGAGAGAAAGAAGAATTACAGGACATTTTAATTGATGATATTTTGGGTTTTAAATTCCTTCTTCTCTCAAAAAAGTTGACAGGAGGCTCAAGATGATGGCAATGGCTTTTTTCCTAATTAATCTTTAATTTTCTTACAAAATGCATCAAGTTACATTTTTATTGCATTTCTCTCTCCTGAGTTGATACCGTTAGTGTTAAAGAACTGCCAATGGCCCGTAGAAAATTTTAGTTTTTGATTTTATAGGGGGAAAGTCCTTAAGTAAGAGAGGCTCTTGATGCATTGTTCATGAGAGAATTCAGACTCTGCTTTAAAAAATTCTACATGGTAAGGTTTTTTATTGCAAAGGTTTGAGCTATTTAGGTTCAACTGAACTGAAAATAACTGCGTAGAAGAAAATCATACAGAATTGGGTCTCTTGGCATGAAAACGAACCCAAAAAGTAAAATAACAAGTCCAACTACCTGTTTTCACCCAGATGATAAAAAAAAACTGATAGAGGAAGCAAAAAATTGCCGTTTTAGGGCTTATGAATGAGGGCTGATTCAAAATATATTCTCCCAATAAATAATTTTTAATAGATAGATTTCAATTCTCGTGAATATAGATAGATGAAGTCATTCAGACTATCAAGAGATACTAATGTGTTATATAATAAACTTTTTTTTTGTTTTTGGAAGTTTGGCAGTGTCCATATCTCAAAGAAATTGTCCAGCAGATGTTTGGGCAGATTTCTGTTGTTACTTTCTACATGTCACGTTGATTCGGATCGTCGGTATTTCCGGATGACTCTATTATTATGGGCACGGTAATTACTATACTGTACCTGAAAATAAGGCCAGGACTCGGCGCTCTTGAAGATGTCGCTAATGAAGTTGACGAGGTTCATGGGTAGCCAGGAAATGCCAAAGATGGCGACCATGGCAATGAGCATCCGGTTGGTTTTCCGCTTGCGTTCGCGCTCCATTTCGTCCTTGCGCGATGTTCGGCTCTTCGACATGTTGCGCACCCGCGTGCTCAGAGCGAGTGAGATTTTCATGTAACAAATGGACACGATGACGAACGGGACGACGAACTGCATCTTCACGGTGAAAATGCCGAACATGCGTCTAGTGAACTCGGACAGCCATTCTGGAAACAAGCAGCAGAGGTAATTCAGGAAACGTTATCCAAAACTACCGTATTTATGAACGTTTTATTGCAACTTGCGAGGGATTCGTTTGCTTCTCCTTGCATCATGTGCGTCGAAAAACGGCACGAAAAAAAGTATTCCGTGAGAGCTGATAACATAGAGGTCAAATCTTGGAAGTTCTGTACACCTTAAACGCTCCACATTATAATCTTATTCGAAACGCATCCTTGTTTATAAGAATTTCTTTTTTAAGCTTCCTTCATTGCTTCTCTCAGTACGCACTGTATAAAACAAATTTTTGATTCAACCAGATGAGTTAGTTCATGTATCCATAACGTTTGGTTGGAATAAGATATACCGTTGTACCGTGAGATCTCAAAAAATGAACGCTCTGCTGAGGACCAAAAAACTTAGCAATGAGCCGTGCTGGCTTATTTGCCCTTTTACCTGAATACAATTATGTAATTTATCAAAGGACAATTCTTGAGTCACGACATAAAAACCAACAATTGAAAACATTCGAAAAATTATGAATATTAAAATTTTATACAAATGGAATGCAGATGGAAATCTGAATGGAAGTTCAAATTATGAGGAAATTCGAAAATATACCGCAGAGGAAAGCCTAAAAAAATATACCCGTATGATGGTTTCATTTTGTGCGTAAGAGTTATACACTACTCTTACATTTTTAATATTTATTTCTGAGCGAAAATCCAAGTGCAGAAGCATCAGTTATGCGAAAATACCGGTGTACCTGAAGATTATCCAACCAATAATTTCAGCTCGGAATTTTTTGGGCAAAAGACAACGTTGAGCAAAATTGAATAAATTAGCAGGGTTCTTCAATGTAGGAACTTTAAACCTTCGGACTTTGTGAAAGAGTGCTATAAGAGAGTTTTATAAATGCAGTAAAAGAACCAACCCAATAGAACCTTCAAAGGTAAACTGTCGAGATAGTAGTAGGGACAGAAGAAACTTCTTTAACTTTTCAGCAGAAAACCCTAATGCAAGGGTTTTCTTTAGGTTAAAACTTGTGGAAACATCGGTAACTTCTGAAAACCATGACAGAAAATCTAGCTCTATAATTCAGGCCGGTCCAATGATCACACACAGCTCAAATTAGCGGGCGAAATTGACAACATTTTGATTTGATACCCTCGGGTGTTACTGCAATCTCACTCAAGTCAATCCTCAATATATCGACCCAACAAACCCACGAAGTACCCAATCAAAACTTTATGCATCTTGGCAGTAACTTCGGACGACCTTATTTTCCCCGTATTGAAGTTACTCATGACCATCATGCCGTGATGACCAGAAATTTCTATATTCAAATGACATGGGTGTTCATGGAAGTAAGACTTTTACTACGTTGATTTAAAAAAAATCGTGTGATGGGTGTGCGTCTTTATTCTGCTAGTCAGCTGACGACCCAGCAGAAAGCTTTTACTTCTTCCTTTATATTATAAACATCGTGAGATTGAACTTTATAAAGGGTACAAAAGTAAGTTTTGTGCATGACATAACGGAGTTCGAGCGTCGGGCAATAGGTAAAGTTTTTGCAATATTGAGCCAGCTTTGTATACACACCTAGAAACAATATGAATTAGAATTGTATTTACCTTCGGAGCAAAGGGGCTCCCCATGTGGTCCCTCAGTCACGCGGATGAAATACCTCATTCCACGGTACCGCTGCTCACTTTTATAGGTATACTCGTGCTAGTACTCGTTTGTTCAGCTCTGAACGTACGCTCCAGCTTTACCTATGTCATAATGCTACTTGGACAGCCTCTTTTTTTCAAAACAAGAAGAGAATTGTTATTCTTCCTCGCCGACAACATCCCGCAATGAAATGTTCCGCAAACAAAATGTGGAGGAATAACACGGGGCGGACTGGAAGTGGTGCATATTTTCTGACTGTGGATGAAAATTACTAAGCTCCGAAACGTTTCTCTTGTTTGCAAATTTTTCAGATTATTAAAATCACTTTTTACTAGATAGGCAAGAATATGTCAACAAACACTGTCGCCTGATTATTTACTTTTCCTGAAATAAAATCCCATCAAATTTGAGACGCGTTCTGGTTTTTCGACAATCGTGTCTTAAATAATGTATATTCAAGGTTAAAGTTCAGGCATGATTGAAGTTGGCTGGTTCATATTTTTTTAGCGAAACACATCAAATTCCAAAAATGTCTCGTTAAATTCTCGCGCTCATTAAATATTGAGATGGGTTGGCCTAAGTGAGCCTGATGAAAGAATCAGCAGGTTTTGTTTGCGTGTATGTACCATACAGGCGGGGCTTATTTTTATTTTTATTTTTTTATTTTTTGGCTGGATTATTGATTCGGACCTGTCGATGGCGATCGACGTCAGCGTGAGCGAGCTGATGTACACCGACACACCCTGGGCACTGGCCACCAGCCGACACATGACGGATCCGAACAGCTATGGAGTAAGGTGCCATGGCGACGAGTGAAAATATCCATATGAGCACGATCATGAGCAAACAAGTCGAGACTTGCATGCGAGGTCGAAATGGATACAGTATTACGATGAACCTGTCGGAGAAAAAAAAAAAACAAGAAGAGAATTGTTATTCTTTCTCGCCAACAACATCCCGCAATGAAATGTTCCGCAAACAAAAAGTGGAGGAATAACATGGGGCGGACTGGAAGTGGTGCATATTTTCTGACTGTGGATGAAAATTACGAAGCTCCGAAACGTTTCTTTTGTTTGCAAATTTTTCAGATTATTAAAATCACTTTTTACTAGATATGCAAGAATATGTCAACAAACACTGTCGCCTGATTATTTACTTTTCCTGAAATAAAATCCCATCAAATTTGAGACGCGTTCTGGTTTTTTGACAATCGTGTCTTAAATAATGTATATTCAAGGTTAAAGTTCAGGCATGATTGAAGTTGGCTGGTTCATATTTCTAGCGAAACACATCAAATTCCGAAAATTGCTCGCTAAATTCTCGCGCTCATTAAATATTGAAATGGGTTGGCCTAAGTGAGCCTGATGAAAGAATCAGCAGGTTTTGTTGGCGTGTATGTACCATACAGGTGGTGCTTATATTTATATTTATTTTTTGGCTGGATTATTGATTCGGACCTGTCGATGGCGATCGACGTCAGCGTGAGCGAGCTGATGTACACCGACACACCCTGGGCACTGGCCACCAGCCGACACATGACGGATCCGAACAGCCATTTGCCCAAGAAGCTGTACAACGGCGTGAACGGCACTGCCAACACGCACAGCAAAATATCCGCCATTGCCAAATTCGTGATGAAGTAGTTGGTCACGTTTTGCATGTGCTTCCGGCTGTACACGATGTAGCAGACGAGGATGTTGCCGGTGATGCCGACGAGGAAGATGAGCGCGTAGGCGAGCCAGATGATGAGCTGGAACTCCATGGTGTCGATGACGCGTTGCGGCGGGCCGAAATCGTCGTCGCTGTCGTCAGTGGTGTCGTTGGCAGTTACGTTGCCCTGCATGCTCCCGAATGACGACGAGGATGATGACAACAGGCCCAGTGTCGCGTCCATCGGGGTGTCGTTCCAGGATGGTGTCATCGACGACGAGTCGTTCATGGCGTTCAGGGACCCAGCAGAATAAAAAGTACTTCCTTCGATTGGCGGAGTCATTGCTTATTATAGTGAAGCGGTGGCTCTCGACTCCCGACCAGGAATGCGTCGGATTTGTCCAACCCCATCAACCAGCAAGAATACTTCACACCATGTCGACCTTCGTTCGTCTGAAAAATGCATCAAGTTGAGATCTGAGGTTAGCGAAGCGTGAATATTTCAGCCATAATGATGCGAGTGACCTTGCATTAGCTGCGATCACAGCCCCCAAAGTGCCCAGCAATCATAGTACTATTTTTCTCCCTGTGCTGATGTAAAATTGTTCACGACTATTCTTGGTATCGAGCTCAACTATACAAGTACTGTACCAGTTATTCGGGGGCACACGAAGAAAACTTCGTCGTCAGGGCAAAAATTGTGACGTATTTCCGTATTTTTCCGTTGAGAAAAACAAGGGTTGATATATTAAGCAGCTCCAAACGCATGCATGATTAAATATAGTATACCAGTACGGTACTTGCTTAGTACACGGAGACTGATTTTTTTTTTCGGACAAAACTTTTTAAACGACTTGATTTGCTTCATCATGACATGCAGTTATAGCGAATTGAAATGCTTCGAGAATTCAAAACTGACTGAGAATTTAAATCAGAGAGTTCTTGAATTTCCTTTTTTCTATAACAAATTATTTTATCACCCACGATTGCTTGCTTCCGATTGGAAAATTTTCTGTCCAAGATAGTTGCGTTGAATTAAAAGTTAATAATCAATTAAATAGTATAAATCTTTCAAAACCTCGAGAAATCTCGAGAACACCTAAAATATAATTTTTTATCGAGAAAGCTATACAGCAATAGTTGCTCTCATGATCTCATAGTATTGAAACGTAGTTTTGGTTCAAGTAATGCTCGGAAGGAGGCTTTTTTATATGCAGCAAACCTCATAAATTAAAGAAAAAGCCTGCAAATGTTCTCGGTCTAGTCCTGATTATTTATTGCTTTTGTAGAGATCGATTTCAGAATTTCAGAACGCCGGTCAAAAACTGTATATTAATTCTTTATGCTAAAAGTGCAGATATAAACTGAATCCTGATTGAGAAAAGTCGTCATTTCTAAAACAGTTCGGCATTTGAAAATACAGTATTTGAATGAAAAAAGAGGTTCTAAAAACTTAGCAATCCATGATCTAAAGAGCTTATTTATGTGAAGGGCTTTTAACTACAATAGTCCCATAATAAGCTATAAATTTCACCAACTCCGGTGGAAAAAAAAAAGAGAGATTGATTGAAATCAAAAAGGAGGGCCAGGAAAAACAATAGGTTTCACTTTGGTTTTCGGAGAAAAGTGTGCTTTGCAAAACATTCGAGTAGAGTATTGCATGATGCAGTAAGTTCATCAAGAGATACTGAATATCTGCACCATGACAGTACCAAAGAAAAAAAAAAGAAACTCCTTCAAGCAAAAACTGTTGAGAAACCCTGTTAACGAGATTTCCAGAAACGTCCAGCGGAAAGTATTTCCAGCTCAACAACAACCACCACCGATTCTTCTTTCTCATTCTCNATATGAAGGGCTTTTAACTACAATAGTCCCATAATAAGCTATAAATTTCACCAACTCCGGTGGAAAAAAAAAGAGAGATTGATTGAAATCAAAAAGGAGGGCCAGGAAAAACAATAGGTTTCACTTTGGTTTTCGGAGAAAAGTGTGCTTTGCAAAACATTCGAGTAGAGTATTGCATGATGTAGTAAGTTCATCAAGAGATGCTGAATATCTGCACCATTAAAGTACAAAAGAAAAAAAAAAAAGAAACTCCTTCAAGCAAAAACTGTTGAGAAACCCTGTTAACGAGATTTCCAGAAACGTCCAGCGGAAAGTATTTCCAGCTCAACAACAACAACCACCGATTCTTTTTTCTTATTCTCACCCAAAAAGGGGGCTTTTTTTGCGCAGTTCGCTGAGAATTCTGCCGTCTCAGACGTGAATCCCTCGCTACTCCGCTTAGGAATCGTCGATAACAGCAAACGTTAATTTGACTATGAATTTACATGAACGACGCGTTTGTTCGCCATCGCATATCGATCACACGATTTCCTTTATTCGCGTCACAGCATACGGCATATATATATATACTGTATATAACCTCCTCCAATTCGCCTTTCCCACGGGTACCCGTGCCATGCGACATGTGTGCCCTGTCGGGATCGTCACAAGATTGGAATTGAAGCTCGGATGAGGCGTCTGGTGTGTCTCTGGGGACGAATAAGTTTGCTTTTCTATCCCACTTTTTTTTTTTGTACCCGTGCCATGCGACATGTGTGCCCTGTCGGGATCGTCACAAGATTGGAATTGAAGCTCGGATGAGGCGTCTGGTGTGTCTCTGGGGACGAATAAGTTTGCTTTTCTATCCCACTTTTTTTTTTTCCTTTCCCGCTGCTGTGCTGGCGAATAGATTGAAAGAAGTTGAAAATAGAGAAAAACGTCGTTATTCGCACATGAACGATCAGTATGGAGCAGAGTTACATATTCAATCGCAGCTTAACAAGAATCAATTCAATCATCGAGAGGATGTTTCTTGATCGTTATACGATCCTGAATCTCGTCCCTGCGGGGAAATGTTCCCATGGTACACGTTATGAGCATGGATTTGGGTGTTGGAAGGTCAACGAGTGCGTTTTGAATACTTGATGCATGCCAAAAAAAAAAGAAGAAAAAGTGAGCACCGCAAAACTCAATTTTTGATTCATAAATTCATATGTATTTGATATTGGGAAAGCTCAACAATTTTCAGGGATGGAAAATTGCTGCATGCAGGGCACATTAAATTATTGCGAATCTCTCATTTTCATGTTTTCATGCAGCTATACCAAGAAAAAAAGATGCGTTGGAAAATTCGAACCGATTTTCATCCTATAGAGTTAGACTAAGAGACTGTGGAATTGTGCTCATTTTTGTAGTTCCTACAGAAACGTTCTTTAAAAAAAAAATTCTGCACCACATTGCCCAGTGTATTTCGTGTTTTCCCGCCAGTTTTTTTTTTTTTACTTCTTTACAGTGTTCCAAATTTTCTGCTGCACGATGTATTAACGAAAATAGCAATGAAGTCTATTATTTCTTCTGAAATGTTGGATAGAATAAGGAAGTGGAAATTATCTCTTGACAAATTTTCACCTGCTGAAATGAATTATTTATTTTTTTTTCATTCTGAGAAACCTTTTTTCAAGTCTACCTTTCTAATTTTTCGAAGACATTCCACTATTTTGCTGCTTTTCATTGGTTCATGATTTTTGAATAAGGAATACACTTTTTAAATGCTTGCGATAAAGTCTTTCAAGTTTCAAGCAAAACTTTTGCGTCTGCAAAAATTGTATGAAACTTTGCTGGTCCATATAACATTTTTGGGTGAAATTTGCTGGTCCAAAAAATTTTTATGGAAATTTGCGAGTCTGCGGGCCCAAAAAGGTTGGGAAACACTGCTCTAGTACATTTCCCTCAGTTATTTGAGGACTGCGTTTCATCTTTCAACGTATACAATTTCTAGTGTTTGTTTCTGAAAATTAAATTCGTTGACTTTGTGTGTTACTAAAAGCTGCGTTGTCAATTAGTCAAAAACAGCCTCCAGAACCTCGGAACATTCTCGTGTTTGTGCAAAATCTGTGGACTTGCACTGCTCACTCGGATAAGCAATCTTACCTAATAAAGTTACTTGCCTCCGTAAGTTGGTCAGATTGTTTCTTCGCACCATTCCCTTCCCAGTTGCCCCCTACCTCCCTCCCCCAGAGCCCCCAGCGAGGCCTGCAGGAGGGTCCCGTT